ATGTACCTGTCATTTGTATAATCCCTTTCTACCATAAAAGAGGACTCCCGGTCAACTCTCATTTTATTTAGAGATTAGTTTTGATTGGTACATAATTAGAGGACATTTTAGTCATTTTATACATGTCCTTGGTTTAGCCCATTATCCTACCATGATCACCAAAATTTCATACATAAGCATTGTATTGATTCTTTTCATAAATCTCATGACCAATCGAAGGTAGGCTTGTGACTCGGACGCTTCATTGACATTAATGTTCACGTGGACAATAAATTTGGCAAACTTACTCAATTTTAATCTCAAGATATTCATTTTTTTTAATGATGATTTCATGAACTCATCCATAGTTTTACTATTGGGTACGTTACATTGTTCTATAGTCAAATTCTCTCAATTTTGGTAAAGGTTCAATAATTAACCTCCTTGCTCATAATCTCATTTTTTATTTTTAACCATCAATAAACATCACTGATCAACAATTTTTTTTTTTCAAACTCTAGTAATATGGATGAACAAAATTCTAATCTAAAAATTGGTATTATATACAAGCAACAGATATATTATAGATGCCATAAAACTTGGATACTTAACAAAAATCAAGTTAGACAGCCTTAGAAATAACTATGATAATACCCGTCCGGAGCTTTTTATATGACAATTGATATTTCTTTATATAACAATTTGTTTAGGTTGAGCTTTTTGCAATGAACGTAATAAAAATTACACCACACTTTTAGTTGATTTAGAGACAATGTCTATCTCTATCATTCTGGTGTATCCCAACCCAAGTCTATTTTAAATCTAGACAATGCTCACCTCTGTCATTCTGGTGTATCCCAACCTAAGTCTATCTTAAATCTATCTTTTCTTACATTTAAGGTATATTCACAATCTCATACGGTAGTCCCTCTCCATATACTTCTAAAATTTTGACCATGATCGTAATGCCTCATCCAAGCTTTGCCTCAATAATTTTAAATCGCCCCATAACTTCCATAATTGCCATTGTATTATTATTATTATTATTATTATTTAATTTCAACTCGTATTAAGGCCGGAAAGTTTTCTACATCTCACTCCTTCCAAAGCTCAGCTTCCATTAAAGACACTTATGTCATTCACCAATACACATTTTAAATTTGTATAGTCTTAATTTTTTCTTTCTTTTTTTTCGAGTGGTAAAGCCAAATCACCTTTTTTTTTTTTTTGTATAGTCTTAATTTTTTCTTTCTTTTTTTTCGAGTGGTAAAGCCAAATCACCTTTTTTTTTTTTTTCATATTTTAATAATATTTACCTTACAAAATTTTATTTCAAGATACTACCTCTTTAATATCTATAGCATACTATAAGATATTATCATTTATCAAGCTTCCTAGGTCATTTTCATTTCATTTGAAATTACTTAGACGTCAATATACGTTGGTACATTCCTTTTCATCTCTACAGTCATAACACTAAGTAAATTTATCTATGTTCGAGACGTCTAACTGAAGCATATGACATTCCTTAGCAAAATCATTTTCACGCATACACTAACATTTAGTAGCTTACTAAAACTATAGCTACCCATTCACAGTACCAACATCAATAAGTCTAAATATCATCAATACAACAATTTACATTCACATCTCATACAAGGTAAAACATAACATTCTATATTATAATAAAAATAAAATTAAACTAACAATAACGCAGTGAATTATGATACAGTCAATGATGTAAAAAAAAAATCAATTATGAGTTATATTTTATAATGACCAAACAATAACAACAACGCAATCAACGACATTTCATTTTACTATCCTATGCAAGACATACCTGATGGAGACGGGGCATCGACGGTGGGACCATGAACATGCCAAGCCTACATTGTAAGCTAGTCTATAAGATTTGTAACCTAGAGCTCTAATACGAACGGTAACGACCTAAAATTTTCTACTTAATTTAAGGTCGTTACTGTATACATATCATGAACATTGAATGCGAAAAGACTTCATTTAAATTCCATAAAAAGTAACCTTTGTCTTAAAACACAGCCATGGACTTACGTGATTCGAAAACACCTTTAAGATGACACAACAAAAGGCTAAATAAAACAAATAAACATTTAAATTAAAATCATCTTATTCCTAAGTCTAAGAAACTAAATACCACTGCCCTATGCATGTGTTATGGTCTCAAATTGTGATGCCGTCGTCAGCCGTGCATGAATGCTTTGCCTTAACCTGAAAAATGTAGTAGCACATGACTTGAGTATTTAAAGAAATATCAAGTGACCCCATTATTGGAGGTTAAATGCAAGAACATACAAATGCAATAACGGGACCTATCATTTCAATCTATTTACCTACGGTACTGTCCTAACGGGTAACTTGGATGTGTACCATATACTCTACACACAGCCAATACGTGCGAGTATGGACTCACTAGTCAGTTCGCACACCGTTGGGCCACTTTCCTTGTCGGGCGAGCATACTTTGGGAGCTCCTTAGGCCAAACACCCGTTAGAACTAGTAATAGCCACGACAACATTATGTAAAACAAAATGATTATACCCCTGCCGACAGCATTATGTAAAACATAATGATCGTACCCCTGCCCATCGTGATGAAATAGGGGTATCCCCAATGCATGAGATCCCAATATTTTTCCATTTTCGACATTATTAAATATAACCACGCTATCGTTTTACATTCATATCATATCTTTTCTCATTTTTCATTTTTCATATCATGCATAATTCTAACAGGGTTGTATTTCATTTCATTTATCGTGATATCATGTCATTCATAACATACTATGTCCATACAATTTAGAAAACATAACATAACGCTCAATGCTTCGTGGTCATATTGTTCCTTAACTTATTATAGTCTTAACGTTCTTATACCTATCACAGTCATATCGTTACGTGAATGTACCTTAGTCATATCATCATAGGAACGTATTCTAACGCTATCGTTCTATCAATCTATCACAAACCTATCCCTTTCTAACCATAACCTAACCGTATTCTTTCATCAATATCTCCTATCCATAGCACTCCGGTATGTAACCTAATCTTAATGTTTCATGAACGTATCTTACTCCTATCGTTACATTTTGTTTTGTGCATCCTTCTCGTATCCTATCTCAAACATATCATTTAACACATCGTACCGTAATTATTATCATACAATTCACATATTATAACATATACATAACATATAAGAAGCATATCGATCCACAGACAATTCACACATATCAATATACATGACATGTGCAGAACCACGGGGCACGTGTCAACATCAAATATAACTTACCGAGAAATCTCAAATCTCTCTCCCATGTAAATCTTCGTCATTTCCTATAAATCTGATGTGAGGCATTTTTGTTTTCTCAAATCTGACATTTTTTCATTTCTGTTTTATTTTTAGTATTTTTTTATTAATTTATTATTATTACCGGGAAATGGACTACGTTAGCGAAGAGAAATGGGAAAGAATTGTTTTTATTTTATTTTATTTAATTATTAATTAATTATTATTATTTTAAACCTAATAATAATTTTTGTTTATTTATTTATTTTTATTTTTATTTTTGGGCTATTACAATATTTTTTTTAGTCTAACTTAATTTTTAGGTATTAAAATTTCTTCCACCCCACAAATTTACTAAAAACATACCTCTAAATTTTGTACATGATTATGAGAGCATGCATACATACATCTAAGAAATTGGAAAACGACGACACTCTATATTTTACAAAAATAAAATCGTGAGAGATGAAAAAAAAAATACGTGCATAAAATTTTACCTTTTCAAAGTTTTGATAAAGGCGAGTTAGCTTACTCTCCTTGCACGATGACTTAGTTAAGCAATCGTTGATTTAAATAGTTTAAATAATAATAATGGATAAATGAATATGGAATGAAATTAATTTATAAGTTTTTAAAAATTGGTTTAAAAAAGATTTACTTCACCCATTTAAATTATTTTTGCTTAACAGAACATTTTTTATTTTATATTTTTAAATGTTTAAATTTTAGTCAGTTTTAATAAATCTAATCTTAAAGCTATTTTTAAATTTTTATTGTTAGTTCATTGTTAATTTTTGGAAATGTTTTCGTATTTTATTTATTTATTTTTTTTTTTACAAAATTAAAATATGTGTTAATTGTTTAAAGACAGAAATTAAAAAAAAAAAAAATCAAATTAAAAGAGTACAAATGTCACTATCATTGCCCACTGTAATGATTGTGACTCTTTTGTCCTTTCCCCTGTCTTCTCCAGACCTTTTGCAAAAGGGTATTAATTGTCTATTTACTTTTATTTATTTATTTAATTTGAAATTAGAATCATTTCAGTCAAAATTGGATATTCTTTATTTTTACTTTTCTTATTAAAATAATATCACTTTTTATTATTCTTCCTTTTAAATAATTGACTTAGACTAACTTTTCTAAAAAAAATTATTATCTAATCACTCATAAATAAATTTATTTATTTATTTTAGAGTAATTTCTACCTAATTTAAATTAATTAGTCGCCTAAAATTATAAATTTATTGTAAATAGCTGTATTTATTTAATCATACACATATATTAAGAAAAATATATAAGATTTTTTTTAAAAGAAAATGAAAAAAAATATATATATATATATAAAATATATATTTGGATAAATTATCACTCTTCTATTCGGAAGGAAGCAAAGTTACGAGAGCTCATGCTCAAAGTGTACAATATCATACTATTGTGAGAGTAGTATTTATCTATCATGGTATCAGAGCCATGCCGTAAACTTAGCTAATAGATGGGTAAATTCTCAAATGTCGAATAAATGATTCCAGAAGAAAAGGAGTCGAGCCTACTCAAACGTATAGTAAATAATGACTAAGGGGAGACCTGCTTTATTCGAGGGGAGGTGTTTGAAGATGAAAGTCACACGTCCTCTCATTCAAAAAATATATATATATATATATCAGTTGAGATGAGAACCTTAACAGAAACAGTGAAGGTATAATAATTAATTGAATACAGATCATTGTGCGTTATCTTCCTCATCGGCTCTCCAGATTTGTAGTCTCCTATTCTTAGAATCTTTCTTTCACTTCCAAATTTTATCCCATTTTTTTCGTTTTCAAATCTCCATTACACTGCGAAACTCGAGCTGTCTCACCGTCTTCTTCGCTGCTCTCTGTTGCTTCTAACTGTTCTTCTGAATGTCCGTGACTACATCATCTTCTCACCATATCATAATTTTTTCTTATTGTCTTCTTCGTTTTGGTTTTGGGTTTCTTTCGACGTGATGGCTGGAAAGGAAGAGCTAGTGGGACGAGCAGAGGAGCGTGGTCCGCCAGTAGTGGCTGAGATGGAGAGCTCTGTTGTTGATGCTTCTAACCCTTCTTGGTTCACGCCGTTGAGGTACTGTTTTTAAGTGTGATTTTGGTTTTCACTGCAGTTTAGTTCTTGGGAAAAAGTGTACTGTTCGTTTTATCATTTGGGTAGCAATTGTATAGGTTCGTGGTGGTTTTCCCTCTTTGTTTGGTGAAGATGAGGGAAAATAGTGCATAATTTCGCTGTCTTAGTGATTATATGATGCTTTATAGCAACTGAAGGGAACCCTTTTGATTACCATGTCTTAGTGATTATATTTTAACCATATGGCTTTGTTTTAGTGAGATTACTGTGATGTTCTTTACAAGGAAATTCGTTTGTTTTTGCTTTTCTTTTCGAAATTCTGGTGGGGAAGAAATTAGGGGTTACTGTATGCTCTTGAGCAGAACCATCCAAGGAGCATTTGCTGGAGAGACAACTCTATGAGTGAACTGTGCCTTTTAAGGTGAACTGGGTTTGTCTTGGTCATGTTTCTTGAATATGGAACTTGGAAGAATCTCGTGAATTCTCGTCCAAGTCTCTTTTAAATCACCTTACTGTAAATCTAACTCACTTCTCCTCTTACGCCTCGTTGCTCAGGACCATAGACTTGAACTCATCTAAGGTCGATCTTATTGATAAGCTCCTAATTCGACCATGAAATTCTAATTCTTAGCTTGGTAGACTTTAGTCACTTCATTAATCTATAGCCCTCTCACCTCCCACCTGTGTCACCTCACTTCAAACCAAGCAAGGAGGATTTAAAAGAAGGCTGTCTGTTTTTCTTAAGATGCTAGAGGAATTTGAATGCTAAGTGATTTTTGACAATGCTGTTTTTTTTTTCTAATTTGGAGAGGTTTGACTTCAACATATAGGGCTTACTTAGAACCTTAGGATATTTTGGGGCTATGTATTGTTAGGAATCACGAACCTCCTCCACAATGGTATGATATTGTCCACTTTGAGCATAAGCTCTCGTGGTTTTGCTTTTGGTTTCCCCAAAAGGCCTCGTATCAAGGGAGATGTATTCCTTACTTATAAACCCATGATCATCCTCTTAATTAGCCAATGTGGGACTCAATAATCCTCAACAATCCTCTCCTCAAACAAAGTACACCATAGAGCCTCCCCTGAGGCCTTCTTCTCTGAAGTTCTTGAACAGCCTCCCCTTTATCGAGGTTGACTCCTTTTCTGGAGCCCTCGAACAAAGTACACCCTTTGTCGACACTTGAGTCACCTTTGATTACACCTTTGAGACTCGCAAATTCTTTGTTTGACGAAACTTGAGGATTCTATTGGCATGGCTAAGTTAAAGGCATGGCTCTGATACCATGTAGGAATCACGAACCTCCACAATGGTATGATATTGTCCACTTTGAGTATAAGCTCTCATGATTTTGCTTTTGGTTTCCCCAAAAAGGCTCATACTAATGGAGATGTATTCCTTACTTGTAAACCCATGATCATTCGCTTAATTAGCCAATGTGGGACTCAATAATCCTCAACATGTATCTCTAATTGGATCAATCTTTTAATTATTATTATTTTTCGTGTGTGTGTTGTATTCTCATTATATGATTAGTGCCAATTGGAGAGTGTTTATGTAGCCTCCCTTGGGTTATCTTCCTAATGTATCGAACAATTTCTCATTTTTAATTGAAGTTTGTTTTGTATAAATTTTTTTAGAAAAAAGTTCACAGCCTCTAATACCTATTTTTTAAAATTTCTGAATCTGCAGACTGCTTGTTATATTTTGTGTCATCAACATGATAAATTATGTGGATAGAGGAGCCATGGCAAGCAATGGTGTGAATGGGCATCGGACTACTTGCACAACTGATGGTACATGTACATCTGGTTCCGGAATACAGTAAGATTTATCTAAAGGACATCATGAGAAACTTTTTTGTCATTTGTTGAGCCATATTGGTAGTTCATCTTTCTTTTCTTAGGTATGCAAGTGAAGTGAGGGGTCACTAGGGTTGATATTCGTCACTATTAATATTTATTCTCCTTTTTGATAGAAGACATTCTGGGATGGATAAAAGCATCTTGTTTTGTCTTTTAAGTTGTGATGCCTGAAATTGGCTAAGTTTTTTGGTAATTATTCATTGTTAGATATGCCATTCTAGTGCTATATGCTAATATTCTACCCTCATTTTTGATACTGAGTTACAAAATATTGCAATTTTTTGTGAACTACAACATCTGTCATTCGATCGATGTCATGACTAGTACAGTGGTCGTAGATTTACCATTTTGATATTTGAAACACAATTGATAGGCTACAACGGAAAAGAGAATTCACCATGGTTGGCTATTTAATATTGTTTCAATATCCTCTTTGGCTTTGAACTGTAAATCATTTAACATGTATTACTAACAGTCTAATACTGTTTCATCTCCCGTCTTCTAAAGCTGGCTTTTTGGATTATTCTGTTTAGGGGCCAGTTTAACTTGAACAATTTTGAGGATGGAGTTCTATCCTCTGCTTTTATGGTTGGACTTCTTTTGGCTTGTCCAATATTTGCATCCTTGGCAAAGAGGTAATCAAAATAACTTACTCGAGCTATAACTTGTTGTAAGGCTTTTGACACTGAAAATTGAAATGAACAATTATATAATATGAATAATCATCCTTATTGAACATTTAGGACGTTTCTTTCTTGTTTATTACAATAACTTTCGAGAACTGAATCTTTTCGTAACATTTGCTATGTGATGATGTGAAGTCTTTTGATTTGATGCTGTACCTCTAGCTGTGATTATGTTGCATTCCATGATAGCATTTGAAACTAAATAAATGAAATATGATACAATTCTGTTTTTTGACATCCCGACTAATCCCACGAAGCAACCACCTAGCCCTACAACATTTGATTGTTAAGAAACTCGTAATATGTTAATATTCTTTGTTGGTGCACCATGAGGCTTGAACTATTCTCTAAAAACCCTTTTAATTTTGTTAGTCCCATGCCTACTAGGCCACCATGAGGCTTGTAATTCTCCAGGTCTCAATTTAAAAAGTAGTTCAAATTGTGTTTATAATATATTTACAGTGCAGTTACCACCTATATATCTTTATTTGAATCTCAACTAAACTTTACATAATTTTTATTTTACAATATTATGTAGTTTTTAGTATATTGTACCATATATGTTTTAATTTTAACAAAAATAAAATGAGTGTAGTATGTTTATTAGTGTAATTTTTCGCCTTAAACTTTCCAATTTATAATCTAGATATACTAAAAATACAAAAACGATCGATCCAAATAACTGTTAGATGAACACGACTCTCCACAATGGTATGATATTGTCCACTTTGAGCATAAGCTCTCATGGCTTTGCTTTGGGCTTCCCCAAAAGGCCTCATTCCAATGGAGATAGTATTCTTCACTTATAAACCCATGATCTTCTACTAAATTAACCAACGTGGGACTCACTCCCAATGATCCTCAACAACAACAGTTTGAAAAGCAATGCCAAATGGATAGTGAATCTTAAAACAAACAATAGTAATTGAATTGCATACCAAATGGGCCTTAAGCTAATCTTCAAACTTAAATCCCATGATGATTTCAAAAAGATATACTCCATTTAGCATTGAGAGGTTTTTAGCTGTCAAAACTCTCAGAAAGAAGGTTTAGAACAAATAAGAACTTAATAGTAACCTACACCAGTCGAATCCCTAGATATCATTGAGTTTCGGTTTAGCCAGACCTTCTAAAGAGAAGCCATTTTCCCATAAGATTTTAATCAAACCCTTCTCGAATGCCCGAACAATACCTGTTTACTTAACAATGTGGAAACAAGAGAATGGGAATGGAAAATTGTCATTCCCACTATTGTTGCTTACCAAATCAATAACGTAGGATAAATGTGTTGCCCACTTCAACATTGAGATCCATGGTGGGCCGGAGAGACAAGACACTGTTCTGGGAGGATGCTTGGCTTCGAACTACTAGTTTCCAAGAATGAAAAGAAGATTATGTGATGCAACTTTCTTTATCTTAGCATCATAAAAAAATATTTATTAACCAGCAGTAGTGATTTCATTAAATTTAAGTCTTATTAAGCTATCTCTTCTAATTTTTGCAGGGTAAATCCGTTTAGACTTATTGGTGTTGGACTCTCTGTTTGGACTTTGGCAGTAGTTGGGTGTGGTCTCTCATTTAATTTCTGGTCTATTGCTGTATGTCGGATGTAAGCAAACATCTTATCTTTTTCCTCCTTTTCTTTGTTATTTTCTATCCTTCTCATTTTCCTTGTTCTGTTTTAATTATATGGGGATTATCCTCGTGAATGTAACGATTTTTCTGTGATCGGTAGGATTGTTGGTGTCGGTGAGGCTTCATTTATAAGTCTTGCTGCGCCATTCATTGATGACAATGCACCAGTTGATAAGGTTCATTTTTTTCCTTCTAGAATTTGCTTGAAATCGCGACAATATATTTACCAATGTGTTCCTTCAAAGTTTTCAAGCGTGATATTTTCATTGCAAAATACAGCCTAATTTAGATAAATATAAACATGAAGTTTCTAAATCTAGTTTCTTTCTTTCTCATTGTCACCTCAAAAGTTTGCAATTGGGCATCTTCTTATTATATTATCTATCTAATTGAAAACATTTGCTCATATGCCACAGAAAACAAGCTGGCTTGGAGTATTTTACATGTGTATACCAACTGGTTATGCTATTGGCTATCTTTACGGTGGATCGGTAAGTTTTTACTATTTGAATGCGTCAGTATAGTCCTTTAATCTACAAACGAAGAATAATCGTAATCTAAAATTTCATTAATGTTTCTTCCATATTATGATTGATTTTCTTATTTCTTATTTCTCATTTTCTGCTCTGTTTATAGCATACTCCCAATTAAGTATTTGTGTAGCCAAATAACTCTTATTTTTAATTCATAGGTTGGTCAACATTTAGGTTGGCGATATGCATTTTGGGGAGAGGCAATATTGATGGTTCCTTTTGTAGTTCTTGGCTTTGTTTTAAAGCCCTTGCAATTGAAGGGTAAGGATCAAGTTTAGATCATACAATAACCAGTTTTTGTTGTGCTCTAATTAAACGATTTGTGGATGCAGGTTTTGCTCCTCGAGAGATAATTAATGCACCGATACCTGTAGATACAGCTGCCTCATCAGTTAAAGGTGCCTTTCGTAATTTTTTTATTAGAAACAAGACTTTCCTTGATGAAATTCTAAAGAAGATGCTTTTTATAATTCATTTTTCTTCCTTAGATGGGATTGCATATAAAAATCACCCATAGACATGCATAATTCAACTACAGTTCAGTTATTTTTTCTCATATCTCGGTTAAATCAATATTTTTCAGTGCTAAAGTAGTATGATCATTTATTTCTTAAAAAAAGAGTATTATGTAGGATCAGTTATGAATGGTTTATCAAGATATATCTGGTCGTCATATGTATCAACTCGACTTTTGATTAGATTCTTTAGTTTGTGATTATTCAAATAGTCAATGGACACGAATCTCTTTGGCTGATTAAACGAAATCAGTTCTTTTAATTCCTAAACGTATTAAGTTTCTTAGTAAAAACAGAAAAAAAAAAGAGATTCTGATCAAGTACTTGTCTACTTGAGATGCTTTTTTGCAACCTCTTGTGGCCTGGCAGACTGATGCCTAGCCCTTCCTACTACATTCATCTATGTTTTGGTTTAATACTGTTCTCCGAAAAATTGTATTCCAGTAATATTAATCTTTCCCGCATCATTTGCTTCATATTTGGGTTCATTATAGTCATCTGCTCCATTCTCTTTATTTTTCTTTTGCATGTTTGCCCTTTTTATGAGCCATAATAATCTTTTTTGACTTTGTATATGGAATTAGATGATGTAAAAACGAAAGATGGAGTATCTCCTCAAGATATCCAAGAGAAAAGGGCAGGAAGTTCTTCCAAGTACGTGACTCGTTGTAAGCTAGAATCGAGCACAACTTTTTAGTTGGATTTGATAGTTTAATTATTAAAAAATTTTACACTATCATTGATAGGAAAATGAACGGTTTAACTCATAAATGTATGTGCAACTGGCACACAAAACCTGTTAAAATCCCTGTCTTTCTCTGGTCTAATATAACCGTAGGTTCATTTTCTCGTGACACTTTTACCACATTTTATAGCATTCTGATATTAAACAAGATTTCAATGGTAAACGGTACAGGACATCGAGGCTTGTTGTACATGAGAAAGCATATTTTAAATTAATTGTTCCATGTAGTTCTGAAAGTTTTGAAGGCTTCATTCATTTTTTAATGTTTAAAGAATGTTGGAGAGAAATTATAAGACATAGCATGGACACTTATAATGAAAAAAGTGAAAAAAACAAGCTGTAAATGTTTAAGATTTCCTTTTATATGTTGGAATTATCAATGTCATTTTCAAATTAGATTGCGTGAACGTTGCGTGTATCTCTCTATTTTCAACTATGTATCTATGTCGGTGCTTTCTTTTGAAGCTCTGAATGTGATATCACTTGCATTGCCTTTTTTTAAATAACTGGAATTTCAAGGCTAGCTTCAAGAGATAGCAAGGGTTTTAAAGTCATAAGTTTCAACTTAAGAGCTTGAACTCAGAACTTCGAGGTTGTCTCTAAACATCATAGCCCCCACTGAGCACTCCTAGATAGACGACATGTGCTGCCTCATACGGACAAACTTAAAGTAAAGAATTTTAGTCTAAATAAAACTAATAGAAGGCCTATTCTATTTACATTGTAGGTATAATGTGTAAGAGATCTAGAAATAGAAATTAAATGCCAGTATGCCATCTGATCTTGTTCTGTCCTTAATCTATGGCAGTTCTGTCCTTAAAGAAGTATTGCGATTTTTGAAAGATATGAAAGCGCTTCTGGTCGATAAGGTTTTTGTCGTCAATGTTCTAGGTATTTCCTTCACTTGAACTACCATACCTTTTCTCAAGTATTGATCATAATATGTTAAGATTTTGGATCCAAGTACTTTCAATTAGGACACTCTTTGAATTTACTTTAAACTCTGCAATTTGTTTGTAGGTTATGTGGCATATAATTTTGTCATAGGCGCATACTCGTATTGGGGACCCAAGGCTGGTTACAGTATTTATCAAATGGTGAGGTCACTTTATCTTATGGCTATAATGTTGCATTTCAGCCATTTACTCTCTTCCACTTGGGGCGAGTTTAAAATGATTTTTAAAATACTGAAAATTGTTTTTATTGAATTACAATTTGAAATTTGTATTTGGAAAATTCTAAAAGTTTCTTAATTACTGCTTCTTCCAAAAGTGCTTAGAGAATAAGCATTTCGCTCCGGAAAACCTTAAGTCACCCAAAATTAACCATTAATCATTAAATTTTAACAAGAAACAAGTCTTTTATTGAATTAATGAAGAGAAAAATGCTCAGAATTCAAAACTCCCTTGAAAAATAAAAAGAAAAACTAAGTTGATCAAGTTGATATAAAGTTGGAGATATTTTTGGAATTTTTATATTTTCAAATATTTTGATAGAAAAGTGCAGATATAATTTTTGGAGGGATTACCGTCGTGTCTGGAATCGTTGGAACACTAGCAGGAGGTTATATTTTGGATCGAATGAACAACACCATCTCCAATGCTTTTAAGGTAGATTTCCTTTATACTTCAAAGGGATTTTATTTCTTGAATTATCCTTGTGACGTCCGAGTACATTTTCTTAATTGAATTATAAATACCATATGTTTTAATTTGATGAAATAAACATGTTCGTCCACGATATTAATATAACTTTGACTCATTAATTTACCTGGCCTAAAATAGCTTGCTGTCACAATAGATCCAGGTAGGTGTAGTATGAGGAAATTTCAATTCTTTAGTATCTTTTTGATTCATATTCCCTACAAATTCCATGGGCTATGGTTCTAAACTCTGCTTAGCATTACTCCTTGCCACATTTTTGTTTTCTGCTTCACCATGTAACTAGATTCCTTCCAACAAAGGAATAGTAATCTGGGGTAGATCTTCCATCCATGTTTCTTCTTGTCCTGTCTACATCATAATAAACTTCTACTTGGAAGTAATTTCTCTTTTTGAATAAGATACCCTTTCGAAGAATTTCTTTTAAATATCTCGAGATTCTATTAGGAATTTCAAAACGAGTCAATTGAGATCCATTCACTAGAGAAAGACTCATAAGCTGGCTCTAAAACCCAAAAACTAACGAGTTACATAAACATAATCATGTATCCATTCACTCGTGGGTTTCACAAATTTTACGAGAGGCTCAACAAGTGATTATCGATGTTATTTGGGTAGAAAATGACTTTATAGGGGTCACACATAGGACTTCCTACTTTGGTTCTATATTTTTTTAGTATAACAAAGAGTATGGAGATTTAAACCTCCAACCTCGAGGGATGGAGTACTTGCCAATTATCGATCCTTTGCTCACTTTGGCTACTTTGACACTATATTAAATATTAAATTTGAAACAATAATATTTCGATACACTAAATTTGTGGCAACCCAAGTCTACATATATAGGAGAAAACCTACTGCAGCGTAAGGAAAAAGTAAAGACAACAACTAATATTTACACAAATATTTATAAATATTAGAAGTTCCAACATAAATAAGAATTTGATACATAGAAAGGATAAAATTGAAATATTTATAAGATTTGATAAAATTCAAAATTAGCACAAGCATTGGAGGCTAAATTATGTTTTTTTAGCCAATACAATAATAAAAATGTTTTTCAGCCTTTATCTGTCATATTATATGTATAGTTCATGTGCTGATATCATGAATGAAAGGCTTGTACTGTAATGCTTATTATTGCGTACATTTCAATTGTAGCTTCTTTCTATGACAACATTTATTGGAGCGGCCTTTTGCTTCGGTGCCTTTTGCTTCAAAAGCTTATATGGCTTCGTGGTTCTTTTCGCTATTGGTGAACTACTAGTATTTGCCATACAGGTATATTCTTCTTTTCCATTAAGTTTTTCAGCCTATTTTTAGAGTAACCAACTCCACAACCTTGTCACAAGATCTCTCACCATTCCTAAAGAATCTATTATTTCTCTGGAGCCAAACCCTCCGCAATATCGCAAATAAACTAGCGTGCCACAAAACCTTCTATCAAATTTCTATAGTAATTGCGAAACATTTATGAAAGGTAAATGGTAGTATTACAACGTTTGAAAGAATATGGGTATTTTTGAAACAAAAGGAAGTTCAAGGCGTACCCTAAAAAACTAGTAAATTGTTCAAAATTCATTTAGAAATTTTAAATAACGTTGATAGTCAATCACAAGCTATAAAAGTGAGTGAGTGACAAGAAAAACTTTGAACTCAACACCAAGACAAACTTGGAATATGACTGACAATTCTCAAGTTTCAAAACTTATATACAATAATATTAAACTCGTAAAAGTGGTCACTCATGGGACTGGTTCGGGTCTAACTCTTACTGCGAGAAGGCCCAATGAAATAGTCAGTCTCATGAAATTGTAAATGTGTAGCAATGATGGAAGGGTAAAAGCGAAATTCCACCTGTGAAGGGTAGTAAAGATAAAGACAACCTTGCTTGAATAGCATCTGTTCTCTAAGTTGTACAACTTTGTCTTGAAAAGGTAGCAAGGATCCAAATAATCCTTATATATAATGTTTTCTTTATTGCAGGGACCGGTAAACTTCATATGCCTTCATTGTGTGAAGCCTAGTCTAAGACCGCTTTCTATGGCTATTTCCACCGTTTCAATCCATATTTTTGGTGATGTGCCATCCGCACCTCTTGTTGGAGTTCTCCAGGTTTGTACTTGGTTTTACTGTTTATAACATCGACACTTTTTCTTAGTCCAACAATGTGTGGAGGTGAATATTGAAACCTTTAACCTGATCTGATCTTTTGGTCTAGTGTAAATGTCTAAACCACTTCGAACTAGTTTTAGGTTAACAATACGCATTAGCACGTAAATATAGTGTAAATGGGTACCTTAGATGTTCGTCTACTTGACTTTTCTACACAAATTTGTAGCTCATTTCTCTATTATTGTACATATGCATATTTAGAGCTTATTAGACCGTTGTCTTTTATTTTATTTTACTACTATTAGTTTAGGGCTTCCATGAATGCGTAAATATTTGGCTCTACTGTGTAGAATAATATTGAATTCTCCTATATTTGGTCTTACAATAACATGGTATCAGAGCCACTAGGTCTTTCCGTTGGGAATTATGATTTTAAGTCATTATGGATTTATAAACCCTTAGGGTTTGAGGTTTGGAGCACCTTTTTGGAGGGTTTGGTCTTTTATCTTAGGTATATGTATCAACAACGCTGTCAGGATCTCTCGCTCTTGTGGTCACTCTCTGAATCCGCTGTCGTTGCTTCAAAGGTCAGTTACTTGACTAGTCTTTATCCCACCTAGCCCAAAAGATAGGCTATTTTTCGATCAGCAAGATTCTGAAATTCGACTTGAAAACGACTAGCATGTGAGGGCCACATGCACTGTCAAAGATTTAGCCCCACGCACGGACGCGTGATTGGTTGGAAGCCTTTATGATTTTGTGGCTTGTTGTTTCATGCTACTCCCATCCTATTTGTTCATCTAATGTGGTTCAATCGTGAACTCAATCCATCCATGGTTCATCTAAAAAGCCATTTGTTAATTCTGTAGTGCAATGTGGTAAATTTCAATAGTGTCAAAACTCAAGCATCTTCTTCATCCTCTACGTTTGCCCCTATTACAATCATCGTTGGGTTACGCGAGGAATCACGACTCTCTACAATGATATGATATTATCCACCTTGAGCATAAGCGCTCATGGCTTTGCTTTGGGCTTCCCCAAAAGGCCTCATATCAATGGAGATGTATTACTTACTTATAAACCCATGATCATTCCCTAAATTAGCCAATGTGGGACTCCCTTCCAACAATTCTTAATGTAGCCCTCAAACAGCCTCCCCTTAATCGAGGCTCGACTCCTTTCTCTGGAGCCCTCGAACAAAGCACACCCTTTGTTCGACACATGAGTCACTTTTGACTACACCTTTGAGACTAGCAATTTCTTTGTTCGACACTTGAGGATTCTATAGACATGACTAAATTAAGGGTATGACTCTGATACCATGTTAGGAATCACGACTCTTCACAATGGTATGATATTGTCCATTTTGAGAATAAGCACCCATGGTTTGAGGTTAGGTAACATGAATCATTGTCTTCCTTCATCTTCTACCAAATGGGTCATTGACTTTGGTGTGCTACTGATCATATGACAGGTATTCCCATTTTGTTTTCCACTCCTTCATCTACATCATTTGCCAATGTTACTTTGACAGATGGATCAAAATTGTCTATTTTTGGATCTGACACAATAAATCTAATCATCTCTTTCTGTGTCTTTTGTTCTACATTTACCTCAAATTTACTTGCATTTGATTTCTATTAGTAACCTCACTTGCGGACTCAATTGTTTTGTTTTGTTCTAACTTGTTCTAACTCAATTGTTTTTAATAGTAAACTCCCTCGTGGACTCGATTGGTTTGTTTTTGTTCTAACTCGTTTCAAGATCTTGTGACGAAGATGATTATTGGTAAAGGAAACTCACTCATGGACTCAATTGTTTTGTTTTTGTTCTAACTTGTTTCAAGATCTTGTGACGAAGAAGATTATTGGTAAAGGACATGAATTTGGAGAACTTTATATTTTCTATCATCAAGTGCCGATAGTTGTCTGTCCTGGATTTGTTTCTCCGTTTGATAGCCATTGTGTCTAGATCATACATATCTTCCAACGTTAAGAATGTTTTGTCCTCAATTTCATAACTTGTCTTCATTAAATTGTGACTTAGGTTAGTTCGCCAAATTTCATCGTCTTAGTTCGAGCCCTAGAATGAATAGAAATCAAGTGCACCTTTCAAATTAGTTCATTATGATATTGTGTCTAAAACTAGATTTCGATACTTCGTTGTGTTTGTTTATAAATACTCTCGTATGACTTGATTACATTTTATGAAGAATGGTTCTAAGTTACTTTCTCATTTTTATAACTTTCATGTAGAAATTCGAACTTGGTTTGATGTTTTCCTTAAAAATTTTGAGAAGCGACAATGTTGTCGAGTACTTTGTCGTAGGATATATATGGCTTTGTCGTAGTTTGAATCAGTATCTTGTATCTCGCGATGTTCCTTTGAGGACAGACCTTTTACGAGCCAGGGGGAGGAGGATGATCTATTTTATCTATACACGTGTATCTCCTACACCCTTCCCCGATCCATCTTCTTCGACGTTTGTTCTTGCCCACCTATTACTCGCAATAAAGTCGAGGCAAATGTCTTGTACTATAAGATTCTTCATCATTAAATCCAAAACTAAGTTTTCTATTGCTCTTCATAAAGGTAAACATTCTTGCACTTTCCTATTTCTTATATTGTCTCTTATAACCATTTGTTATCTTCTACATGTTCTTTTATTGCATCACTTAAATCTATCTCGATTCCTAAAACCGTTAATGAAACATTGTCTCATCCTAGTTGGCGCAACACGGTGATAGAAAAGATGAAAGCTTTAGATGATAATGGTACCCAGGATTTAGTATCTCGTCCAGTAGGAAAGAAAGCTATCGGATGTAAATGGCCGTTTGCATTTAAGGTCAATCTCGATGATTCCGAACCTATTGATTTGAAAGACCGAAGAAAAATTAGCAGATATTCTCATGAATGCTTTAAATGAAATTCAAATGGATTATCTTTATAACAAGCTAGGCCTGATTAACATATATGTTGATTAGAAGCTTATTAGTATATTGTCTTTTATTGTAAGTTTACTGTTATTATTTTAGCGTTTTCGTGTATTAATAACGATATTGCTGGTTCGGTGAGTCTAAACGAGATCAATGATTTTGTAGGACCATATTAACAATTGGAGGAAGACCGCTCTCATTCTTACTGCAGTTTTTTTCCCCGCTGCTATTATATGGTTCATAGGTAAAGTTCCATACTTTTTAGTGTTCCCAGCTGCTATTGTCTGATGATTGTCTATGTTTGTGCTGTTCAATCTAAGCTTTGATTAAGAACCATGAAAGAAAATACACGACTACGAAAAGGTCTAGCGAAGACATTAAACCTTACAAACTCCCGAACCACATCATAAGACCTCTCACCCGCCCCGAAAATTCTGTATGTGTGTGTGTGTATAACCAGAAGGTCTGAAATTCCCACGTGTTGATGAACTAAAAAAATTTCGTTAAATGGATGATAAGAAACCAATGACATTAAGATATACTTCATTTCAATGCATTCAAATGCACGTCCAAGTGTGTTCATGTCTGGTATCTCAATACTATATTCAAGTGTCTATGCTTATCACTGATAATTGTATAAACACAATTTTCTCTTGAATGCTAGGAATATTTCTTCACAGTGTTGATAGATTCAATGAAGATAACGAAAAGCAAATCACGACCAATAGATCGAGCGCGGAACCTTCACTCGAACCAGAGAAAGTACAACAAACAAACAATGAGCAAGTCACAACCAATAGATCGAGTGCAGAATCTTCACTCGAACCAGAGAAAGTACAACAAACAACCGATAGATCAAGTGCAGAATCTTCACTCGAACCAGAGAAAGTACAACAAACAAACGAAACTTGTACGAAAACTTAAGGTTGCATATTCCCAATCCACCTTATCTAGTATGATCTTTTAGTGCATCTTGTTTGATGTAAATAGACTTGTCTTTTAGATGATCCTTATTTATTTTGATTGTCTCTACCAATACATTCAGATAATAAAAGGTTGAATAGCCTTTGGGTTGAAAGTAAATATTGTGGGTATAGAATGTGCTATGATCATCATGAATGTTTATGCAACTTTTGATTCGGAATTGTCTTTCATTCCAAAGCATAACTTGTATCTATGCATTTTATATTCGCATGGAGTTCGCTCTCAGACATATAGCCATCCCTACGATTAATGTCAAAATACCTAACTTCATTGAAAAAGATTAAAATACTTATAAAAAAAAATACATAGTTCATCGAACTATTTTCTAAACTATGTATAATATGCTTTGAAAATATTGAAGCTTTATAACATTTAAAAAAATGAACACTTTTAAAACTAGATGAAACCACATTGTTCATCTCTCACAATGTTTGAACAATGGAGAGGATACGTTGGTTGCACTTACGAGTCGGCATAAAAATCTCCGACCGACAATGTCGAGACAATGAGAGAGGATATGCTGGTTGTACCCACGAGTCGAACAGGTGGCATAAGAACCTCTGATCGACAATGAGAGAGGACATGTTGATTGCACCCACGAGTTGAATAGGTGACATGAGAACCTCTGACCGACAATGTTCAAACGATGAGAGAGGGTATGTTGATTGCACCCATGAGTCGAACAGGTGGTATAAGAACCTCTGATCGACAATGAGAGAGGATATGTTGATTGCACCCATGAGTCAAACAGGTGACATGAGAACATCTGACCGACAATGTTCAGACAATGAGAGAGGATATGTTGATTGCACCCACGAGTCGAATAGGTGACATGAGAACCTCTTATCGTCGGAGAAGGAATAAATGGAAAAGGCACAAGCAATCCCAATAACGTTAATGCAAGACGACCTAGTTATTGTACGACTCGTCTCGAACAGTGTAGTCTTAAACTCTCAATAAAGGCTTTAGAAATTTAGAAAATGTAACTCTACCGTCCGAGCACACGAAACTCGAGAATATCTTATTCCAACCAACCCTAGGGCATGAGTTTGAGGACCCATATATTTTTAATTCCAAATAAGTGCATCAAAATTGAAGTGAGAGAGGACTTTAAATTGGGTCAAAAGGTGGAATTTGTGAATTGACCATTTTAGCCCTGGTGGATTGCATTATTACAATGGCGGCTCATGTGGTGATCTATGGATACCTTCTCTTATCTTCTTCAACCTTAGAACACAGTTGTTCGAAACAGAGAGATAGAGGAGAGAAAATGGCAGGCGCTTTAGCTGGATCACTTGGAATTGGCCTTCCATGTTCCACCAAGCTCTCTCACACAACTTCACGCTCCTCTCGTCTAGTTCGTGTCAAAATGGCCGCCACACTCGACGAGAAGAAGAACTTCACTCTCAAGAAATCTGAAGAGGCTTTCAAAGCTGCTAAGGTACATTTCTCTTCTACCTAACTTGTTTCCTTTCTCTTTCATTCAATGCATGGAACCTTTGGATTGATTGGTGAATCCCCCTTTTCGTAATCGGTGACTTTTTCCGAGTTCGCCATAGGTAGTCTGTGTGTTTGAGTTTGGATTTAGATGTTTGGTAGTGGATTAGCAATTCGATTTGAATTCTATGGTTCTTTTGCGGTATTAGGTATCTGTGATTCTGATTTCTCGTACTGGAGGGCAGATTTTTTGTTGCATCGCTGAATTTTCGATTGTTTGTTGAAAATTCAATGTAATGATATCTTGTTTGTGATGGTTGATGTTGATGGTGAACATTGTTTTGAACGCTTTAGAGAAATTTACGCAGGAGCTAATGCCTGGTGGAGTGAATTCCCCTGTTCGTGCCTTCAAATCTGTTGGTGGACAACCAATAATTATCGATTCTGTAAAGGGCTCCCACATGTGGGATATTGATGGTAATGAATACGTTGATTATGTGGGTTCTTGGGGACCGGCGATTATTGGTCATGCTGATGATGAGGTACAATTCCACTTAGTTTAATTTCTTCAATTTGTTTCTACTTGTGTGTCATAGTTTCAGTTACTTGGATCTTCTGCGTTGCTTTTAAGTCTAATGTTCTTCAACCTTTATTTATTTATTTATTTTTTTTTTTTGTAAAGTTCTGAACTATCAATGGCCTTCTAAGTTTGGTTAATGGATATGTTTTATCTCATAAGCATGTTGTATCTGATCTCTGTGACATGGTTCCATGTAATTTGTTCTAAAGAAACGTTGTTTGGCATATGTTGCGCATGGTCAATAACTTTGTCCACAATCAAATTTCACAATCAAATTTCCAGCCCGTAGTTACCAGGAGGGAGTCCCACCTTGGCTAATTAAGGAGATTATCATGGGTTTATAAGTAAGGAGTATATCTCCATTGATATGAGGCGTTTTGGGGAAACCAAAGGAAAAACCATGAAACCTTATGCTGAAAGTGGACAATATCATACCATCGCGGAGAGTCGTGGTTTCTAACATATTGTTCAATCTGAAATTTTACAAAGTGAATAGTGAGGATCGGCTGGGTGTTTGATTCCTATTTCTACTTCATTTTGATTTTATGGGAAATGCAACAATGAATTATCTAATTCTCTAATCTGCCTTGATAAAACACAGTAATCTTCTTTCTACTATCTATTAATCTAGGAAACAGAGACTTCATTTGGAGCGAAGTGTCGGTTTTAGAGGCATAAGACATGAACATAATTTAGCATTTCTAGGTCTTTTTCCTTCTAAAAAACTAAGCTCATTGGGACATGCAAAGAACGTATTAAGACATGCTGAGACATGTTGGATAAGATAATTCTAAAGCTGATACTAAAGTTATTCTGCATAAACAGCGAGAAAGCTATCTCTATTATAGAAAGAAAAAAAAAAAAAAAAAAACAGGATAAGAAGAAAATATATGAAAAAATATTGTAGATGTATACTATGGAAAAATGTATTAGATCTAAATGACAGAAAGCCACAAAAATAGCAGATTAATCTTCTTTCCCTGCTGATTCTGCCAAGCCCGTTCCCTTGGCTGTGGTTTCACTGGATAGTAGACAGGGACAGCGGGAATCTCGTTAATCCATTCATGCACGTTACTAATTAGATGAGGAGGCATTTGGCTACCTTAAGGGAGTCATAGTTACTTCCGCCGTTTACCGGCGCTTGGTTGAATTTTTTCACTTTGACATACGGAGCCTACAAAACAAGCCTGATTTCTTCTCTCTTCTATTTGTGGGATACTTAGACTCTTTCTTGTAAAAACTGGAGAATATTGTATCTTCTGAAGTAAATAAGTTGTCTTTTGATATTAAATTTGCATGTTTAAATCTTTAGATATCATACAAGCCACCATGTCCAAACGAATTTATTTATTTATTTATTTTTGAAGTAATGAAACGTATAATTTTGTTTATATCCTATTTTTTTTTAAAAGGATATGTTGCAGTGTATATATTGTGCTTGCGTTTGCCCATGCTTCTACTTGGATATTCATCACCATAATATTCTCATAGGTACTTGCAGCCCTTGGTGAAACAATGAAGAAAGGAACCAGCTTTGGCGCTCCATGCCTTTTGGAAAATGTTTTAGCAGAGATGGTGATATCTGCTGTTCCAAGCATAGAAATGGTTCGGTTTGTTAACTCTGGTACAGAAGCATGCATGGGTGTGCTTCGGCTTGCCCGTGCTTATACTGGAAAGGAGAAACTCATCAAATTCGAGGGATGCTACCACGGCCATGCCGATCCATTCCTTGTCAAGGCAGGCAGTGGAGTGGCAACGTTAGGCCTTCCTGATTCTCCTGGTGTCCCCAAAGCAGCTACCTCTGAAACTCTTACTGCCCCCTTCAATGACATATCAGCTGTAGAATCCATTTTCAACGCCAATAAAGGAGAGATTGCTGCACTTATCCTTGAGCCTGTCGTTGGAAATTCTGGCTTCATTCCTCCAAAACCCGATTTTCTAAATGCCATACGCAAACTTACCAAGGAAAACAACGCTCTCCTCATCTTTGATGAGGTCATGACAGGATTCCGTTTGTCTTATGGTGGAGCTCAGGAGTATTTCGGAATAACACCCGACTTAACAACGCTCGGAAAGATCATTGGCGGTGGTCTGCCTGTTGGTGCATATGGAGGACGAAGAGAGATCATGGAAATGGTAGCACCAGCTGGACCAATGTATCAGGCAGGTACCTTGAGCGGGAATCCATTAGCAATGACTGCAGGGATACACACACTAAAGCGATTGAAAGAACCGGGAACCTACGAGTATCTGGACAAGATCACGAGCGAACTTGTTGAAGGTTTGGTAGCTGCAGGGAAGAAGGCTGGGCATGCAATATGTGGAGGCTCCATAAATGGAATGTTCGGGTTTTTCTTCACCGATGGCCCTGTTTACAACTTTGAAGATGCTAAAAAGAGTGACACAGCCAAATTTGGGAGGTTTTACAGGGGAATGTTGGAGCAAGGCGTATACTTTGCCCCTTCACAGTATGAGGCTGGGTTTACCAGCTTGGCACATACATCTGAAGATGTTCAACATACTATAGCAGCAGCTGAGAAGGTTTTCAAGCAAATTTAGGCTTTCATTATGGTATGCTCTGTAACTGAGTGAGAGTTGAGTAAGAACTTCCTCTTAGGAGATTTGTATCTTCCTGATTGTTTGCGAGTAAGTTGGGCGTTGTTTCTTGATGGGCAGTAGTCTCTATGTGCTTTTCTTATTTTCTTACTAGCAGGTTGACCTAATAAAAAGATCAAATTTAGGGCATCAGTTCCAATGGTTCACTTAACTGTGGCATGAATATGATTAATATATCATCATATATTAATCATGGAAATTTGAGTCATACTTCGCTTCAGATTATTTCAGGTGTAGAGTGTTACAATCTCATTAAGAGAAAGTAGGTTTGTGACCCCACATGCAAGATAGAAAGGGGCGACCCTTAAGACCCTCAAGTGATACCTATCCGGCCACGTGAGGGCCAAGATAGAGATGTGTCATAATGCGATTGATGAAGATAGTGCATCATCCAACACACCAAGAGTGTGCATTGAAGCTAAGTCGAGACATATACAAAGTTCAAGAGAACGAGGCAATACAAGTGTCAAAGACAAGCTCGAAAAGGGTCAAGTAGGACTCCAAGCCATAACCTTAGAAGTTAGGGTTTTGATATGAGTTTCGGCATACGGCTTGAGAATTAAGTACGATATATGAAAGATGAAAGCTCACAAAAATTTGGTGTTAAACAAATATCTGCAACCTATGCACGAAGCTATATGTTTGCTTGTCAAAATGACATCTACTCGAGAAGGATTAAAAATGCCTCAAAATGTACTAAGCACGGTTACCAAAATATTTGCGTGATAAAGATCATTGTTTGCCTCTGGTAACCTCAAATTTCTACTTTCCCTTACGTGTCAACAAGCAAGTTTGGTGCTCTCTCTTAACATGGTAGGTTTTGACCCAAAAGATGAGCTGGGGCAGGGGTCTCTAACCTTACGTAAATCTCAAGAGGCACCTGGTCATTTCTACCCATTCAATTATGAGCAAATCAAAGGAGGACCACGTCAATATGTCCTAGCCAGCCTATTACCCATTCAATTATGAGCAAATCAAAGGAGGACCACGTCAATATGTCCTAGCCAGCCTATGAGTTTCTTCTTCGGAGCCCAAACTCTCTTATCTGCTTCTAGGGTTTTATAGTGCTTTCATCAAATGATGCATGTGGATTGAGTCATTCCTACCCCAAAGCCCAGTTCGGCCTAGTCGAATCAGTCGAATCATTCGAATTAACATGTGAGTGGTCAAGAAACGAACCCAAGTGGACGAATTGGAAAAAAAACACTGTAAAAAACTTCCCACCTGTTCTGAAATAGTTGAATTTTGAGAATATTATACCTCTCTATCCAAAATAGAAGCGTCGAAAAGGAATACAGAATGGCAAGAACTATTCCTTATTTCAACCTTTTATTAATTATAAAGGCTTGAGGCGACCACAATCCACTTGTTCTCAAACCAATCAATTTCTCTAAAAAAACAACAGAAAATCCTACTTAGAAACCGAGTCATGCGATACAAAAACAAACCCACCAACTGGGCATACATTATTCCGTCTAAACAATGGAAGAATGGGTTCTACATCATTATGAACATATAAATCAGAAGGCCAGAGTTCACAAATCTATTTTGATTTGAGCACTTACATAAATAGAACCACCATCTTCCTACAGTCTATGAATTCTATACAAGAGACAGCTCACCAGAAGGAATTGATCTCTTCACGAGATTGGCCCATGATTTGTTGGTCTCTTCAATAACTTTAAGGGCATAATCCTGCACCAAGTATAGCATGTTACAACTTAAGCTCAAAGAAAGTTTAAATCAAAGAGACCAAATGGTGGCCCACACATCAGGAGTGCTTGTGTTTGAAAAGATTCAATCGAAGAGAGAAGTCTATCAACTATTATGACATGATTTAAGAAAGGGGTTCTTTTATGCACAATTGATTGATTAATCTCATTCTCTAATTGCGGCATCGTGGAATAGGATGGAAAACAAAATGTAAGAGTCTAAGCTTAGCGTTAACAGATATTTCCTCTTTGAGTTTTTCCTTTCAGATTAGAGAGAGGTTTCCACCCCCTTATAAAGAAGGCTTCGTTCCCCTCTCCAACCAATGTGGGATCTCACAATCCATCCCCCCCCCTCGGGGCCCAATGTCCTCGTTGGCACTCGTTCCTCTCTCAAATCGATGTGGAATCTCACAATCCACCCCCTTCGGGGCTCAACTTCCTTGTTGACACACCGCAGTGTTTGGCTCTGATACCATTTGTAACAGCTCAAGCCCACCGCTAGCAGATATTCTCCTCTTTGAGCTTTCCCTTTGGGGTTTCCCCTCAAGGTTTTTAAGGAATGTTTCCACACCCTTATAAGCAATGTTTCGTTCCCCTCTCCAACCGACGTGGGATCTCATAATCTACCCCCTTCAAGCCCAGAGTCCTCGCTGGCACTAGTTCCTTTCTCAAATCGATGTTGAATCTCACACAAAACCACATTAAAAATAAAAAACAAGAAAAACTGAAGCTAGCCGCCTTGGAGCAAGAAAGCAGATCATGAGTATAATGCAAGAAGTGGGTTCCCAACACCCCAATTGTTATATTTGTATATCAGATATATGATATACCAAAGCAACCATCTTGTATTCAAATGTTTGCATTGTATTGATGAATTGAAAAATACGACCCTTTCGAGCTACAAACAAGAAAATATTGCGAAGGACTCAAAAGATTGAAATTTAGTGGTGGAGTTTGTATATGTACCTTGTTGGCAGGCATGTTCCCCAGACCAAACCTATTAGCGGGTTTTCCATCAGGGATCTTGTAGTCTCTAAACCAGTCCCTTATAGCAGTTAAGGTTCCCTGCAAGTAACTTTTGGATTAGGAAGGTAAAATCTTTCACTCCATTAGAACATTACAAATTCTGGCATAGACTTCATCAGGATAGCCCCCCACCCCCCGAAAGTCAGCTTACCGGGAAATGTTTCTCGACATCGTCTATATCATTCACTAGTGAAGCTTTAGGATCGTCTAATGAAATTGCAACTATTTTCCAGTCAAGTTCCCCTTCATCAATCATGGCTAAAGCAGCCACTGGTTTCACTTTCAGAATCTCACCTATCTTACGATCACTTTCACCAATTTCAACAACATCAACTACAAAAGCAACAAATAGTTTGAAAAAAGAAAAAGAAAAAGAAAAATCATTGCCTTTACATATTATGACATTCTACTCATTAGAGTTGAGGAAGTTACAGAACCTAAAAAGAAAGTTCAATGAAAACATCATCAGGTGCACATACCAGGATCATTATCTCCAAATGCACCTTCAACTTCAGAGTTAGCAAAGGATGGATCTTCCCATGTTTGTGGAAGCAATCCATAATTCCAGTTGATATTGTAACTGTGAGATGCACAGTCAGGTGGTTACATGTTAAAAAAGACGGTACTCGAGAGTCATAAGGTCAAATGCAAGAGCCTCAGCCTAATATTCGTAAAATGGCAAATGAAAAAATATGCATATTAGCTAACAGGGCCATAACTTGGCAAGTACGGCATACCTACTTCATCTAAGAGACAGTAGTTTGAAATTCCCTCACCTCACATGCTATGTAATAGCACATATACATATATGTGTCTACATGTTTGTGTGTAATACACACAGATGTATAGATGCATATAAATATTCAAGATGGATAGTACTTATAGTTAAAACTAATTAAGATGGAGATTCCAATTAGTCCAATTCTCGTAGCTTAAAATTCTTTCTAAATCTTTTAGTGGAGGTTCAAATGCATACTTCTACAATTTTGGAACTAAAGCAGTAAAAAATATGCGATTTTCTCGCTAAATACCAGAGAACGAAATGAAAAATGTTGCTACACTATGATGTACAGACACTAAGATTGTCAGCAGAAAAAACAGGCTATAGCCATCGGGACGTGCTTTCCATGTCCATCCACTTATGAGTTGGCACTTGGCCAACAGCTAAACTTATTATATCATGTCTAAACTTATTATATCATGTCTAAGTCTAACAAAATTCAATACCCCATACAGTTCCAGCAATAATATACAGCAGAGCTAAGCAACAAATGCATTGTTTCTTACGGGTAGTATCGAAGCTTCCCCTTTTTGATATCTTGCTTTATAGGAGTGAACGACTCATCTGTTGCGACCTCCATTTTTGCGCTGGTTTCTTTTGGAATTTCAACAATGAAGTTGAAAACACCATCCCCCAAATGCAATGGAATATCATGCCATGGGGAGACCTACACCATAAGCAGAACTTCTTTTATAACATGAAGAAATGAAATGTAAAGGAGTAGAGCATTCTTGTTAGTTCTTCAGTGCACAATCAGTCAGATTTACTAATTAACCTCGCACTTTTCAAAGTTCCTCAAAAGCTCACACCACCCAGAAATTCAAATACAAATAATGTGAGATCCCACATCGATTGGGGAGGAGAACGAAACATCTTTTATAAGGGTGTGGAAACCTCTCCCTAGCAGAGAGGTTTTAAAACTTAAAGACTGACAGCGATACGTAATGGGCCAAAGCGTCATTATCTACTAGTGGTGGGTTTTGGCTGTTACAAATGATATCAAAACCAAACACCAGACGATGTGTCAACAGCAAAGGAGGATTGATACAAGGCGGTATGTCAGCAAGGGGCTTGGGCCATTACAAGTAATCAGTGAATCACACACAATGGGTCATACGCAAGGACGGGACATAAAACTCCCTTTAACGCTCGAGAAACTGGCATCATCAGTGTCTAAGAAGAATGGACAAGGACGTATGGATACACTACCGTTCAATTGTTTGAAAGAATTTAAAGTAAATATGAAAGAAACGTAGAATATAGTCTTATAGAAGACACGAAAAAGTTTGTTCAATGAACTCCGTAGACGGCATACGAATATCCAATTTTATAAGAATTGGGAAACAAAAACATCATATCTGAAAAACAAAACGAAATTCGTATATAATTCAACACACATTTCTGGATTGATTAATATCTAAAACATCAAGAGATACCTGAACTCTCGCATTCAATTTCACAATGCATCAAATTCCAAATATCCATCCAAACCGAATTCCTAATGGTTCTCCACGTCGTTAATTGCAATCAAAATCCATTTGCCTCAAAAATTGATCGAGGAATATACACAATTTCTAAAACGAAAAATGGAAACCAATCTAGTGGCATGCCGATACAGAAATCGGGAAAAAAACGTGGAAAAACCTTTTTGCCGGACTGGTCAGTGAAGAAGACGCGATAGTCGAGGGTTTCAGGCTGGCCTTCCTCCTTGATCTTAACCTCAGGAATGTACAAAGCTCTGCAGGAGAAAGATTTTCTGGAGGAGGGGAGTCTTCTGGAGAAGGAAAGGAAATTGGAATCATATGGGAGCCTGTGTTTGGGAAAAAGGGATGTCTTAGATAGGAAACAGGAGGCAGTGACGGCGGCGGTGGTGGTGGCATTGGCTAAGACTCTAGCGGCGGCCATAGCTCCGGGAGAATGGAAAATCTGCAGGAAAAGGGACGTCTTTGGACGAGAGTGAAGAAGAGGGTGGGGGGTTTTATGGGCATTCGAGAGTTAACCACAAAACAACTGAATTGGATAGGCCAGAGGAGAGAGAGAAGAGAGAGAAAATGAAAAATGGCCGTTGGATCATTGGATTGATCAATTCCATTCATTATAATATTCTCAAAATAATAAATAAGGTTAAATTAAATTTATTTTGCCTTTTTCTAAATTAACAAAAATAACTTTAAATTTTATATTTTTTTTAAATTTTAATAATAAGATCATGGAAATATTTTGACCCGACATCGTAGGCTAGTCTATAAAATCTATAAGCCTAGAGCTTTATATCAATGCTAACAACTATGTTGTCCCGTTCAAAATAAGATATCCACGACTAATGCATGCAGAAAACATCCTGTGTCATTGACTTAACATTCAAAATAAATATCTTCCCCGTATGAATCATGTACCCCTAACCCTAGCTCGTCACTCACTAACGGGCTACCAAATGCCACAGAGGGAAAAGACTCGCATAACATCATGGAAAACAATACCTTCCCCGTATGAATCATGTACCCCTAACCCTAGCTCGTCACTCACTAACGGGCTACCAAATGCCACAGAGGGAAAAGACTCGCATGACATCATGGAAAACATAGATGTCGCAAGGTACATGTCTGCACTAATCATAACGAGAAAGTATCGGATGCATATGACACACAAAAATGCATGAAATTTTCATTACGATAAATTTATGATACAAGTCAAACCTCCCGTGTGAGTCTATGAATATTTTTCATAAAAATATAGCTTAGATGGTGTGGTGTATGGAAGTGTAACTTCATAGCATAATTCATCAATATTCATCGATAGCGGGGTCACTTAATCTCTCTCTTCAGCTCTCCAGTTGGTCTCTCATTTCCTCGCAGCAGTTTCGTCGTACTCTCCGTTCTCCTTCCCGGTATTGTATACATTTCCTTTGATTTCAGTTGCTTTCTTTCCTTTTTGATGGATGTTGGGTATAATCGCTTAATTCTACTGATTTTCTCCCAGCCTCCAAGGATGGAAATGAATCTGGCTTGTGTAAAATCTATTGGCTGTTGGTTTTGTTCATGTGCCGAACCGTGTAGTTTGATTCGCTTTATGAATCCAGGAGTCTTCTTGACTTGTTTTATCTCTCATTGTCTTGCTTGTGTTCTATCGGAAATCAAAAATCGGTGTCCCATTGTTGATTAAAGTGAAGGTTCTGATCCCTACTTGTAGGAACATTTTGTGCCCTAAAATCACCGGGAATTGCTCGGAAATTATCCGGGAGCCGTCTGCGAAAAGAATTATTGGGATTTGGGCCTGAATTTCTGCCACTGACTTTTTTGGTGGTCTTGCTCGAGATTGTTGGGAGTCTGCCTTGGCTAATTTAGGCAACAATCGTTGGTTTACATCTCTATTGGTACGAGGTCTTTTGGGAAGCTCAAAGCAAAACCACGAGAGTTTAGGCTTAAAGTGGATAATATCATAACATTGTAGAGAGTCATGATTTCTAACATGGTATCATAATCATGCTCTTAACGTAGCTGTGTCAATAGCATCCTCAAATGTCGAACAAATAAGTTGTGAGTCTCGAAGGTGTAGTCAAAAGTGACTCAAGTGTTGAATAAAAGGTGTCCTTTGTTCGAGGACTCCAGAGAAGGAGTCAAGCCTCGATTAAGAGGAGGCTATTCGAGGGCTCCATAGGCCTCGGGGGAGGCTCTATAGTGTACTTTGTTCGAGGGGAGGTGGCTAATTTAGAGAATGATCATAGGTTTATAAGTAAGGAATACATCTCCATTGGTTTGGGGCCTTTTGGATAAGTCCAAAGCAAAACCATGAGAGCTTAGTTCAAGGTGGATAATATCATGCTATCATAGAGAGTCGTTATTCCTAACAGGTCTTTTCTTTTCGATGCAATTGTTTCTCATAATATTACACACACAAGTTTACTTATACTTGTTCATCTCTTCTTATCCATAATTTCGTGACAGTTCCAGCACATGTCCCCATTCAAAACTGCGCAAATCCACCTTGTGAGTTCTCATCGTGAGGTTTATGAACCCTGTGATGATTCATTTGCTTTGGTTGATGCACTTTTAGCTGACCGAGTTAACTTGTTAAATCATCACCCAACATTGTGCTTAGAAGTAGGCTGTGGAAGTGGGTATGTCATAACATCTCTTGCTCTTATGTTGGGAAAGGAAGCCTCTGGCACTCACTATATCGCTACAGACATCAATCCTCATGCAACGAGAGTCACTCAGGAGACACTAGAAGCACATGGGGTTCATGCGGAGTTGGTATCCACTGACATAGCATATGGTTTGGAGAAACGACTGGCTTCATCTGTTGATGTGTTGATTGTGAATCCACCCTATGTTCCAACCCCTGAGGAGGAAGTGGGTCTTGAAGGAATTGCCTCTGCTTGGGCAGGAGGGGAAAATGGCCGCAGTGTTATCGATAGAATGTTGCCAGTTGCTGATGCTCTTTTGTCTGACAAAGGCTGGTTGTACATGGTTTTTCTTGAAGCAAACAATCCCTCCCAGATATGCCTTCAAATGAGAGAAAAGGGGTATGCTAGTCGAATCGTTGTGCAGAGATCAACTGAAGAAGAGAGTCTTCATGTGATCAAGTTTTGGAAGAATGCTGATCTTCAAGTTCATGGAAAAGATTCAAGTCACAAAACAGGAGCAATTTCAACATCTTAATTAGGAACACTTTCATAAGTTTCTTTTGTTTCCTGAATGTAAGTGCTTAATCTTGCTAATCCATGCTTTGTTGGTACTAGTTATTACATCGGTTTATAATCTCGGTGGCGTTTCGGTTGTTTTTCTCTTGCAGGACTTGAGATTCATCAGGACATCCTCTGTTGTTACAAGGAACTAGCCCATTTTTCAAAATTTGTGCATTCTACAGGTGCGTATTGTTCGATTTTGTATATCAAATACATTTGTTTTGACCCTGTTACTGCTTAGAGATCTTATAGTAGTCGGTACTCTAACTGTCGATGAGTTCGAAACTTCGAAGTTCGTAGTTCATAGGAACTTATAATTTCATTGTCAAGATACTTCTGAAACTGAAAATATATGAATTGAGCTGGCTGAACGTTTTTGAACTGCCATTGTTGACAAGCTTTACTCAAATTAGTTCTCACCTGATAAGATCCAATTCTGCTATTAACCTTTTGTTGTTCTATGTCTGTCCTATGGATTTTAAGATCCAATTCCATTTGGTCATTTGTTTGCGAGATTCATTATGGTTTAATCCCCTTTGCTTGCTGCAAGTTAGTGGTTTGTTGAAGCAGTGTTTTAAGGATCAACCAGCATGACAATTATGGATCGCGGGATATATTTATTAATATGTTTGCTCGCTGTAATTGTGACCTCTTTCTTGAGATGACTACATCAAAGATGCACTTGCTAGTACTAGTCCCCTATACTCTTAACGATCAAAGTGAACCCTTTCATTACGAATTGAATTTGGAATGAATCAAATCTCCCCAAGTAGGTAGGATGGATCCGAACCTACAACCAATTGGTTAACAGCCGACCGCTCTACCTATGAGCTACTGAAGAACAATGGTAAATTAGGTTTAAGAGAATTCCATTTCTGTTCTCAACCATGACCAATATGAGCACGAGATTTCCTTCGTAATTCCTGGAACTTCTTTGTAGTGGCTCCGTTCCATGCCTCATTTCATAGAGAACCTCAAAGTGGCTCTATTTCATTATATTTCATCCATATCCCAATTCCGTCCACATATATATATATATATATGGATCCCATCTCGAGATATTTCGACTCTTTCGATCTATCTGAACAGATCAGGCTATCTATCAATCGATTTGCAAATAGTACATTCATTTTCGCCATAATAACAAGCAAGCGAATTTGCAAGAAGCTAGAGCTTCTAGCCCTTTCATTCTGATTCACGAAAGAATTGGGAAAACCAACAGAAAGATTCGATTCTGACTTCATAGAGCTGGTATTGTTGTTGCCTGCATGTATGACCATCTCGGGGTGCTAAGAAGCTTTTGTTTTTGGAACAGATGGCGGTGTTGTGCTGATGCCTCGAATTCTAAATGCCTAGTTGTTTATAACTACGTACATACATATTTGTTTATAACTATGCATTTAAAATTCTAGCACAAAATAGTTATGGAAGACTTTCACTCAACTGGTGGACTGAAATTCCCACCCATCAACTCAATCCAAACCAACCCTGGACTGTATCATGTCGAAGTGGAAGATGGAACGCTTCAAAGGTAGCGATCGTCGCCAGAGAAATTTTTCAAAATAAATTTGTGTCCAAATTTAAATCATTTGAAGTTTATTGTCTTTATCATGGGAATATTATTTTCAAGAAAATAAAATAATGCAAAAATAAGATCCTCACAATCTCTCTTCCTCACACCGAACATTTAGAATTGCCCTACTTTTGAGGGTTTCCAGATCATAAAAAAATGGTACCTAATATCCGATCTTGCTTGAGATACTTTTAGAGGTGTTCGTGACTTCGGCTGGATTGAGTTGTAATCCAATAACCATGACTCAGTGCTTTCATTAATTTCTTACATTTTTCTTTCGTGGCTCAATCATATGAACTCATAATTAAACATGTTTTGTTTCGAGCAATTTTATGTTGGGTGATCTCTTAAAATATTTCATAAAATACATGTGAGTAAAGACCAAAAGCATGTTGGAAATGATTCGTGTTGCTCTGTGAGGATGGTCTTCACTCTTAGAAGCAAAGAGTAAGCAACGTGACTATGTCGTAGGAGAATATCAAGGCTACCCGTTGTTGAATCTTGAGCATGAGTTGTTACAACAATATTTAATGATTTTTATGAGTATACATATGCACGAGGTTCCACTAAACATCATTACTTTCACATAATATATGTCTAATTTACAAACGGTCATACAAAAGATTTCAAACAAGAGAAAGCAACCAACTTTATTCTAAACTTTTCGATAGTAAAGCCACTTGCATATTGAATTCAAACGAAAACGTCATCTATTTTAATCGAAGGTTGACCTACATATGTAAATAGAAAGATTTCAAACGAGAAAGTTAAAGACTAAATTAAAATCAAACGTCAAATTTTCGATGGTATTATGTTTAAGATTGATGTTTCTATCCAATGAATTAAATATTCAATATTTATCTGCTCGTCAACATTTTTATTAATATTTTTAAGTAATCAAGAGAGAAAAATATCTATTTTTTTATTTAAAAAATAGACATCAATACCCGAGATTAATTTATACTTTCAATATACTATATAAATATTGATGAAATATGATTATTTTTTTTAAAAAAAATGTGTTCGTATGAATAAAAACTATAGCTAACGACAAAGTTCATAATATCATTACTTTTAAAAAAAATTATCGATACCCTTCAATTTTTTAAAAAGTTTTAAAAAAATACATTTATTTTTAGTACCATATTTAAAAAACAATTAACACCAGGAACTTAGTATAAAAAAGTTACTGATCATCTTCCTTTTCAATTTTAGGAGTATTAACAGGTGGAAACTATTACGTTTTTTTTTTTCTAAATTTAAGGGTATTGATGTTATTTACGAAAGTTCATGGATATTTTACGTTTTTTTCTTCTAAATTTAAGGGTATTAATGTTATTTACGAAAGTTCATGGATATTTTTTAAATACGATAGTAAGAGTTCCGTTCATGTACTATGGACGAGTATTTTTCAAGTCTTTTTTTTTTTAATTAAAGATATTAATAAAATTTTAAAAAAATTAAAATGTATTTTTATTTGAAGGTGTGAATGGTTACCATAATTACAGCAATAATATATTCTCAAAAGAATTGGGAACTTATACACACATTCATATCAACATATTTTAATCAATAATCAACCCATTAACCAAAATTTCAAAAGCTGGTTGGTGAAGTTTCCCTAAAAAAGTCCACAAAACACCCAAAATAAATGGATTCCAAAGTCATAATCATCCATGATTTTATCGGTTCCCATTTCTTCTTCAAACCCTTCAAGACTTTCTTCCATTCCATACCGGTGAGAATCCGAGAGCGACTGTTCATAAACCTAGCCATTGGCAGGTGAACAATAAAGCTTCAAAAAGGCTTCTCCATGTCTCTTCCCTGCCATTGTTGAGGTGAGAACAAAAGCTTTCTGCCATTTTGTTATGGCGATCATGTTTGCTTCAATGGGTTTCTTTCTGAGTTTGTTTTGTTGTTGGGGTTAATGGGTTCTTGGGGATTCTTCATTGTTTTGGGACTGTTCTTGTAGATTTTGATGGGAAGTGGGGGAAATTAGGGTTGGTGGGTGAATTGATTTAGTTTATGTCTTTTGCAGTTTAGCTGACTGGTTTGAGGAGGTTTGTTTTGGTGAAGAAGAAGCTTTGTGGATGGAGATATCATCTATGATGGGGTTTTCTGAGATGGTAAGAGGATTTGATTGATTGAATGATACTTTGGAACTTGTTTGTGTGTAGTTATGTAATATCAACTTAAGCTTTTGGGTCTGCTGGATAGGAGTTTCTATGTTTGAATCTAGTTGTTTCGCTTCGGATTAATATGAATGATCACTCGTTGGATTAATCTCTGAGTCAACGAGTGAAGGACGGACAAGAATTGTGAGATTCTACATCGGTTGGGGAGGAGAACGAAACATTCTTTATAAGGGTGTGGAAACCTCCCCTAAAAACTTTGAGGGGAAGTGTGAAAAGGAAACCTCAAAGAAGACAATATCTGCTAATGGTGGGGATTGGGCCGTTACAAATGGTATTAGAGTCAGGCACTGGGCGATGTACCAGCGAGGAGGCTGAGCCCCAACAGGGGGTGAATAGGAGGCGGAGTGCTAGCGAGGACGCTAGGCCCTGAAAGGGGGTAGATCGTGAGATCCTATATTGGTTGGAGAGGAGAATGAAGCATTCTTTATAAGGGTGTGGAAATCTCTCCCTAGCAGAACGAAGCAATTTTAGAAGGGTGTGGAAACCTCTCCTTAGGCCCCAAAGGGGATGGATTGTGAGATCTCATGTCGATTGGGGAGGAGAACGAAGCATTCTTTATAAGGGTGTGGAAACCTCTCCCTAGGCCCCAAAGAGGGTGCAATGTGAGATCTCACATCAGTCAGGGAGGAGAACGAAGCATTCTTTATAAGGGTGTGGAAACCTTTCCCTAGGCCCCCAAGGGGGTGGATTATGAGATCCCACATCGGTTGTGGAGGAGAACGAAGTATTTTTTATAAGGGTGTGGAAACCTCTCTCTAGTAGACGCGTTTTAAAAATCTTGAGGGGAAGCCTAAAAGGGAAAGCTCGGGCAAGCCCAAAGAGGACAATATCTGCTAGTGGAGGGCTTGGACCGTTACAAGAATATACGAAGTTTAAGTTAAGTTTTTCGGTTTAGTGATAGGAGCACGATAGGTTTGGACGTGTTTGGATTATGAAAAGGAAATGAGCCATTGATGAAGTTGTTCTTTCTTTTGTAGGGAATGGAGGATAGTGGCTTTGTCAATCAGTGGCACAAGAGCTCTATAGATGAGATTAGCACACTCCCATTAGCAGCAGCTTTTGGGCAGAATTTGCAGCATTCTTATGCTCATACAAACCTTGACCAGAAGGCTTCTTCAAACCATTCTCAAAATGCCATATTTGGGTATGCGAAACATCTCAGTTCATACCAAACAGCTAATCATTCGCCAAACGCACACGTCGTTGCATATCCGACCATGTCTGTTTCGGCTTCGAACTACACGAATCAAATGGACTTCACAAGGCCAAAAGAGGAGGTTGTGTGTCCTCAGAGTATCAGCAACATCCCTTCTGATATGTTGATTTCTCAGGGCTCATTATGTCACCAAAGCCATTTAACCAAGTCCGACCGTGGAGCGAAAAGAACTGCTATCAAAAGTAGACTCCCCCCGGCTCAAGATCACATTCTTGCAGAGCGGAAACGGCGAGAGAAGCTCAGCCAGCGGTTTATTGCCTTGTCTGCTATCGTTCCTGGTCTTAAGAAGGTATGGATCTTTAACTTTTTGGCTGATAAATGAAGAGAAACTGTTTAACTCTGTTATTTCCCTGGCTGCTGATAGATGGACAAGGCTTCTGTTCTTGGAGATGCCATCAAGTACCTGAAACAACTGCAGGAGAAAGTGAAGATACTAGAGGAACAAACTCGAAGGAAAGACATTGAATCCGTGGTATTCATCAAGAAATCCCGAGTTTTCGGTGATGGAAACAACACATCGAAAATGGAGGATGAGCCACTTCCCGAGATCGAAGCCAGATCTTGCGACAAGAACATCCTTATAAGAATACACTGTGTGAAAAACAAAGATGTCATAGAGAAGACCATTGCTGAAATTGAAAAGTTGCATCTAACTATAGTCAACAGCAGTGTTATGTCATTTGGGAGTCTTGCTCTCGACATAACCATTATCGCTCAGGTAACACCGCTAGCACATATTGTCTTCTTTGGGCTTTCCCTTTCGGGCTTCCTCTCAAGTTTTTTAAAACGCGTTTGCTAGGGAGAGGTTTTCCTTATAAAAAATGTTTCGTTCTCCTCCCCAATCGATGTGGGATTTCACAATCCACCCCCCTTCAGGGCCCAGCGTCTTTGCTGACACTCGTTCCCTTCTCCAATAGATGTGGGACTCCCTGATGTACCCCCTTCGGGGCTCAGCCTCCTCGCTGGCACATCGCCCGGTGTCTGGCTCTGATACCATTTATAACAATCCAAGCCCACGGCTAGCAGATATTGTTCTCTTTGGGCTTTTCCTTCTGGGCTTCCCCTCAAGGTTTTTAAAACATGTCTGCTAGGGAGAGGTTTCTACACCCTTATAAAGAATGCTTCGTTCTTCTCTCTAACCGATGTGAGATCTCACACTGACCGTAGACTTGGATATCTCGATTTTCAAATATCTGAATTCGCGGACTCCTTAAGACAAGCATTCAAGTTCTTGCCCTGCAATCAGTTCCACATTTTAAATGTGTTTCTCCTTACAAATGTGAGCTGCTCTTGAAACATGTTCATCTTTTTGCAGATGGATAACGAATTCCGTTTGTCGCTAAAGGATCTCGTGAAGAACTTGCAGTCGACTCTCCGTTCGTTCCAATGAGAAGATAGAAGAATGTTTTCAGATCTTCCTTAGCCTTCAAACAAAATAAGAACAGTCAGTTCCAAGTCTAAGCCCATCCCTTATGTTTACAGGTCCGTGATGTTCCAACAAATTTAGACCAATACCCTTAAAAGGAAGCCAGTTGTGAGATTCACATTGCAGGTGGGGGTTTTTTTCTGTCATTTTTGTGTCCTGTTTGGAGGTTTTTTAGCCATTGAGGGTTCCCAGAAAGCAGCCAACTCTGTGGTTTCTTCTCCTTGCATTACATGGAACTGATATGAGAAAGGGAACTTGGTTTTTTGAAGTTTGTAGAACAGAATAGGCCTTTGTGTTATGTTTTTTAACAGTTTATTACTGTTTGTTTGCTGTTTTTTGAGGCTTCCATGACATTGTTTCAGCCTCTTTTTACACTCACTTTGCTTTGTAATTTCTTGATTGGAAGTGATGAAATAGTAAAAAAGAATACTCTTTATGTTACCCCTAGTCGTACTTTTTCAACCATACGGTATCGTGATCTTGACATGCTTACGACTAGGCGAGGTTTGCCTTCACCAACTGAACATTGCTATTCCACACAACGTTGTTCACCATCTTGGTTCTCAACATCATGACGGATGTCATTTCATGTCTTGGGACACATCCGTTGGGAACAAACCCATATGTCGATCATCTCATTTAGACATCCCAAACATCCACCCATTCGAGTTCTTTCTAACATTGGACTCTCATGTGTCCATGCTAAATCATTTACAGTATACGTTCCAAATAGTAAGTGCATAATTCAACCTCTGATATAGTTTGATCACGTTGTTTTATTTATGTATTTTTTGGTCGTTTTCATTTTTCTTTTTGCAAAAATTAATATTTGTTTTCATTTAAAGTTATTCCTGGTAACAATATGAGTGATATTATGATTCTCTTTCCACATCAGGATAAAAAATATTAAATTTTAGTGAATTAATTAAATTATATTTAGTGACCATGGTCAACTAAAAACAAACGGTGTCGTGGTGTAGTTGGTTATCACGTCAGTCTAACACACTGAAGGTCTCCGGTTCGAGTCCGGGCGACGCCATTTTTCGAATTCCGTTTTCTTTTTTATTTATTAATTAATTTAAGGAAAAAGACTGCGGTTGAAAGTGGGGCCCACAGATTTTGAAGAAACTTTCACCATTAAATCCACCGAAGACCATTTTGCGGCTGATTCCGGGCGACGCCGGTTAATAAATAATCTTTTTTTTAAAAAAACCGAATAAATTTTAATATCTTCTATTTACAAAATGGAAAATTAATAAAAATACCGTCAAATTTTACATTTTTGTTAAAAAAAAATATATTCTTACGCTGGAAAGTTTTTAACTTAAAAGTAAAAATAAAATAATTTTATATAAACATTGTTAATACTTTGTTAAAAAAATATTTTTTTTAATTTTAAAAATTTCATTATTACCGTTTTTTTTTTATACTTCAAAAACACATTTAATTTTTTTTTAAAACTAATAAATAAAAATTTAAGGTGTAGACAGACGATTTCAATCCACAGATTAAGGATAATAATTTCTTAAAACTTTTTTTTATAAAAGTTAAGAGTATTAATACTAATTTTAAAATTTTATTGATATTTTTTCAAAGATACTCTTGGTAAGAGTATTTTTTTTAACTTCTTAAAAAATTAGAAGGATATTAATGAATTTTTTTTAAAATTTTAGTGATATTTTTTAAACACTATTAAAAGTTTAAATATACTTTTGATTATATCAAATTTAACCTAAAATCCTTCTGAAAGTTATGGGTATTTTTGATATTTTTGAGACAAAATACAAAATTTAGATATATTTTTATTGACTTAGTTTAAAAAAAATAAACAAAAATCGGTTAATAATGGGTTTTAAAATTACTTTTGAATTTGTAAATAAATAAAAAAATACTACATTTAATGTTTTTTTAAAAGAAAACTTTAAAAAAAAAATATTGTTACAGTCAGTATCTAGACAAAAACTATGGTATATGAAATTTTATAATACATTAAACCGTAAAATAAATTAAAAGTTCTTATCATTAATATACGAATGAAAAATCCCTTATCTACACCTCATAGACCATTTTCCTCATCGATTTCCTCTTTCTACTCTGGTGGCCCAATAATTTTTTATTTTCATTTTCTTTAATTAATAAAAGAGAAGCTCTGTTATATGAGTATTTTTAAATATAAATTTAATAATTTTTCGTCGTAAAATACCCATTTTTTTTTTTTTTTAATGTAATCTTGAGTTAGAAAAATAACTAACTTAGAAAATAAATTGAATAATTGAGTGTTGAAATGTCTTATTTGTGTTTGAATACGTATAAGAGAGAGTTGGATATTTTAAATTTAGTAAATTGTTTTAAATTAATTATAGAAAAAAATTATAATAATTATGAGAGAGAGAAAACTCCAATTGCTATTTTAATTGGTGTTACAATTATACATATAAATACTTTTTATTAAAAATAAATAAACTGATTAAAATTACAAACAAACTGGTGTCGTGGTGTAGTTGGTTATCACGTCAGTCTAACACACTGAAGATCTCCGGTTCGAACCCGGGCGACGCCATTTTTCCTGATTCCTTTTTTATTTTGATTTATTTACTAAATATTTAAAAACAGCTGAAATTACGGAAGAAAGTGGGGCCCAGAGATTTTGAAGAAAGTTGGAGACGCCGTTAAATCCTCCGCTTCCCAAAGGTCCATCTCATATTCCAACACCACCGACCAATAAGATCTCTCCATCTCTCCATCTCATCACTTCCTCAATCCCTATTGGTCAATCTTCATCCACGTCATCGTTCTTCTAAAAAAACTCCGTTTCGCCTTCCTATTTAACCCCATATTCTTCCCATTTCTTTTAATTCTTCCATTCGTTCTAGAATTTTCCCCCGAAGATTTTCTGTGGGTCGTTTTCCATCCAAATCTATTCATCGCCAGTAAGAGGAAAACCGGAGATTTTGATCTTCCTTTTCGTTTCGTTTCGTTTTGATTTTGTTGTTTTTTGATCGCATTATGGCTCTTCACGGGCTGCGCTGCCTTTTTCTCGCAACTCTTTTTGTTCTTCTTGCTCTTCATGCTTCCGCTGGATCTCCCCCTTCTGTGAGTAATTCTTCTCGTTTTCGTTTGCTTGTTTGATGCTTATTTTTTCACTTTTGGAGGTTTTGATGGACCTGTTCATTTTATGATTTTGATTCGATTCAAGTTATTATTCCTTGGTGTTTGAGGATTTGATGTTGGATTCTGGTTTCCTGTTTTAAATTCTTTGGTCATTTCATTTTTAATTTGCGAGTTTTCGGGATTTTTGTGGCTTTCTGCTTTTCTTGTAGTGTTTCATTGTTTCTCTGACCAACCCATGGAATTTTATTCTTGTTTTCTCTTGTTTGTTTATATTTCTGTGCAATTTGGTAATTATTTGATGCTTAATTTCTGGATACTTAGGGTTTTGATGGTTTTCTGTTCGTATTGTGGCGTTTTATTGTTTCTCTAACCAGCCGATTGATTTCTTTCTTAGTAACGATAATGGTTATTCGTTGGATTTTGCAAAATTCTTATTATTTGATGTTTAATGTGTGGAATTTGATGGATTTTATTGTTTCTTTGAACAGTCGATTGTAGATGGGTTTACGAAGGATGTGAAGGAATTGATTGGGAAGGGATTAGGGCTTGTGGCTGACGATTTGAAGATCACGGGATTCGATCTCAAAGATGCCAAGGTTGGGCATTCGGTTGCTTACGAGTTCGAGTTGGAGATCGATAACCAAGTTTTTCCATTGAAGTTTCTGGAAAATGCCCAACATTGGGAATACGTTGATTTGCCTATTTTTCAAATTCAAGAGCAGCCTCGAGCTCCTCAACATGGGGACGAGAATTTGTTGGTCCAGAAACGTAATACTGCCTCTGATTTGCCTGTCTTGGCTCCCTTTCAGCTCGCTGGACCGATGGAGCTCTGGATTCAGGATGCTGATGGCTTGAGGGTCTCCTTGCCTGTGAGTATTTTATCTGCTTTCAATTGGGTTCTATTTATGTTCAGACTTTCTATTGCCTTGATGATGTTCTGGGATCTTCCATTGCCATGGAGTCTTGCAATAATCTGTACTTTTGAGAATTTTCATGATCACCCATTGGATTAGGTGGTTTATTGCCATATTTGGGTCTTTTATCATGATTCCTACACTAGTGAACCTTCAATTTTGCATAATAAAGACCCATTTTTGTTCTTAATTTAATAACAGATATAGGTCGTCTTTTTTTCATTTGCTTGATCAATAGACATTGATATGGATTGAATAGCCAGTGTTCTTGAAGTCACCATCAAGATCATGAACTGGAACTTAGAATGCCTTATTCTCAAGTTTGATTGTTTGCCATTGAATTTGCAGCATGATGTGGATGCTGGTGTCTTGAAGAAGGTTGTTTTAGCAGATGGAGCAGTTGTTACTGTAACTGGGGCTAGGTCTGTTAGCCTGCGCCATTCGCTCAATCTTCCTCTCCCGCTCAATCGAACTCGACCCGGGTTTGCATCGGGGCTTGTAGCCTTGGCTGAACAGCTCCACCACATTTCCCGATCTCAATCCGCCCCCATCCTTTCTCTTCGTATTGTTGGTCCTACCTCCCTCACTTCTTCTCCTAGCTTCAGCAACAAGCTCAAGCTCAAACGCCTTGCCCCTGGTCTAGTGGAACTCTCGTCCCCTTCCAAAAAGAACATCCAAGCCATCCAGTCTCCTTCCCCTGTCCAGCTTCAAGCTGGAGCCCCTACCATGCTAACACCAAAGACGTTCACAACGCTATGGCCAATTGCCTCCATCAATGGATCTAACTCGAAATTACTTGGCTTTGAAACACTTCTCACGTCCCTTCTCGGCCCCAAGGCAGACAAAAAGGGCTCCTTCAAGCTGCTGAAGGCCGACGTTTCCGCCCAAACAACTGTGAAGATTGGGTTTGGTGTCGACAAGAAGTTGAAAGAAGGAGATGGGATCAACTTGGAGGGATTTCCAGAATGGAGGACTAAGCCTGAGGTTGTGAGGATGCATTTCGAGGTCCTGGCGAAGGTCGACGGTGAGCGGATCATACCAGAGAGGGTGGTGCCAGTTAATCCAGTCGTCATCGAGGATACAGTGGCTCCTCATTTGCAACTGGGCAATGTGACTGTGTCGAAAACTCCAGTTGTTTACACCCCAGCTGATCCATTCACCATTTAAGCTGGAATCTGAAGGTTTGTTTTGAACACACAGTGTCTTCGGGTGGAAAGTGTAAAAAGGATACAGATGAGTGTGAGTGGTGAGAGCATAGAGAAGGTCATAAATACTGTACAAATTATTGAAGCTCATAAATTTTATATTTTTTTCAGTTTCATTGGGCTATGTAAAGCTTTGAACCCCATGCATTGCGTGCTTCTCCTTAATTCATTCACCCTATTTATATCATAAAAGATTCAGATCTTT